AACTCTAGTCTTTTCTAGGCGCCCTCTTTTTTTGTATATAAGCCCGGCAAATAAAGCGGAGTAATAATTGCAGATAGACAGATAACCGAGTCAAGTGAGCGGTAGTGACCGTAAGTAAAGTGCGTAAATCGTTGTGAATTATAGTGTGTTTGTGTTATAAATTAAAGTGACTGTGGAAATTCTGTGTATTGCAAAGTTGTATTGAGAAAGAATAAACTAGTTTTATTTAAGAAAGGACATATATCGCTTAAGTTCCTCGGGAAGAACTTATACCGGAAATCAACAAACGACCAAATATGCAAAAGTTCCTTTATTGTCGAAAATGAGCTATTGATCTGTAAATTACAACTTTCCTGACTGTAGGGTTAAACACTCGCATTGCATTTGATTAGCGGGAAAGTTAAGCATACTCAATGACTTTTATGAAAGATATAAGGAAACGTGTGTTCAAGCAAAAACGTGATACTGATTAACCAAATAGCTTATAATTTACTCGTTGTTTGACAAATATAGTGAAACACAACCGACTTAATTACAAAACCAGTAGTTTAAGTTCTTCATTTTTAGTTTGTAGAGCATGTACTAAAGTACTGGTACTTTATTAGTTAAATTTACAGACACGGAGGTTTCATAATTTTTCGATTCAGCAGTTGGTCTTATATTTTGTTCAATGAGTTACCATAAGAATACAACCATGATGTTTTAGGTTATTATTTCATCTGTAGTACAGTTTTTTACAGTCTAAAATTTTGATAACACATTTTTAAATCTAATGTAGAATCAAGCAATCCAAGCGATACGTATTTTTTTACATGAATTCAAACTATATATTCGTTTCGATTACTTTTCTTTTTCCTCAGTTTTATTGAAAAACATGAAGGAAAAACATAGTGAGAACTGTAGTAGTCGTGTCTTTAAATCAAATGTAATAATACGCAGATTTTGTCTCTCCTGAAAATGATTGCGCACCTTATTATCTAAATGCGTGTGTGTGCGCGCAATTCATTCAACGAACATAAACAAAAGGCAGATGTAAATATACCTTAATAGATATTTTGTACAATACATATTAAAAGCTTCTCAAAGTTTTAAAAAAGCCTAACGTTAGGTCGTAGCTATACAATAAGTTATTTGCATTTTGTATACCAAGGGTACCGAATCCCGATTTTTGGCGTTATAAGCTCTCAAGCTCACCGCTGAGACATCGGGGGACTTTTTTATATAACCAAATTTCATGCCATAATGTTTCGTACATAAAACTATAAAGGTTCTGTCACATTTGTAATTTATCTGTATACTTTTTAATTTGTTTATGTTATTTATGTTTGTGAAGTTAAGGCAGTGTATTAGGAGACACCTTGTTATACAAGTCATTAAATAAAATGTAAAATTCACAAGGGTGGAAATAAACTTACATGCTTTCATTATTTCTAGGTAGCTGTATTTTTAATGTCGTAAATTTGTAAATAAACTAGTTCTTTTATGAAGGGTATTAAATCATCAGTTTCCTTAAACTACAGTTAATGATATAAAAGTCTCTCAATGTTTCCATATCAACAGTTCTTTTCTTTTAACCATCGCGTTATTAACGCTGTGGGAGATTGTGAGTGATATGTAAAATGGACGATGTTGTTTATACTACCGTCAGACGTGAAAACTTCACTACAATCCTTGCGCATGTGTTGGACTTATGACATCATTCTGTAAGCTAGCGCCATCTGCTGGTTTATTGATACTAAAGCAGTAAAGAGCGCGGTGTTTTGGCGTCCATTATACGTTTAACACGGCTAGGGCACGCTATACCTGTTCGTCGCGGTGTTTGACATGTACCTTCTTAGTATCAAAAAAATGATCGCGATGGGATCCTTTCGTGTCTATACTCTGTCTGCACCAGCATATACGACAGAATTTTATTTTCCTTTAAGCTGTTGTCAAACCCTACGTTCTACTGTGGGCAGAGAACTTTGAAAAAGAAGTACGACTTGGTTTACTTGAAGACTGGCCTAATATACGGTGAAGAAGCGAACACTTATGGGTAAGGCAACATGTTGATGTATTAACTTTCACTGTAAAGACTTGAAAGTTGAAGCACAACCTGGACCCGTCAAGCATTACTAGTACTACGCCAAAACCTTTTTTCTTACCAAACAAATGTCATATTTGATGCTCAACAATATAAATTGAATTTTTATTAAGAGTATCAATATAACGTGTTTTTCGTTTTTTAATTCTATGTCTTAACTGAATTACTTAAAGTCGATTTCTATTATCTTGAACTGTGAAAAATATTCTGTGAACGATATACTTAAATTTGAAAACCCAACTGCCCTATTACATCAGTATTATCAGTTCCATTAAAAGTTAGAAATGTTAAATTATAATATCAACAGGGTCTTAGTGTACTCTTAAGATATTGCCATCAATTTGATTTCAAAATATCATTTGAAGCGAAATAGACAGCAGCTGACACATTAATTTACACAAGTGATGTTTAAACGACCGAAACGCCGTTACAGATACATTTGATTAAGATTCTTTAATAAATTCAGAAGTCTGTCAAAATAGTGTTAAAGGTAAAGCTGTCTCAGATCTACATGCAGTGATTTTTTCATGTGGAAGAACCACCTCCAGAAGCATTCAACGACCCACGTATGTTTTTCACTTATTGAAATTAATGAAAAAAGTAAATTTAAAGTACATCAGATTCAGCGAGAAAGAAAGAGAAGGCTAAGAACTTAGCATAATACTTGAAGAAAAAGGCTTATAATGTAATATGTATTCAGTAACATTTGTTATACCAACAAACTTTTTTAACTGATGACCATTCGTAATAAACATTACTTAAGGTGGATAATTTTTACGACTTTCTGAATAACTAACATGTAATCGATAATTGTACCGTATGACTGAACAACACAAGCCATCTACCATTTTTACCAGGGACAGGGCACAAGAAATCAGTGGAAGAACTTCCACGGTACAAGAAGACCGCATAGAAGGCCACCACCCTGCGGCTATCGGTAGCTTGATGATCCCTGACCCATCTCCAACTTTAAGCAAAAATCATAGTTCGAACATTAAACCCAAAGAGAATTATGATGCAACCGTGAATTTATACAATCAGCATGTATCATCGAGCTCCGAAATAAACGTAGTACTTGATATATCAACACAATCAGCTGTTACTAAGAAAGAGAGGGAGGAGCCACCAAGAAAAGAGATGCCAAAAATAGCTGTCTCAGCTCAGAAGAGTGATGATATCAGTAATGAGTTGAACAAAGGCTGTGGTGTGCTACTGGGCGATGTTCACACACCACTGAACCAACCCCAGTCTTCTGTTAGGCCTAAAGCACATTCCCTACTGGAAGGTCAATCTCAGTCAGTTTGTTCTTCGCGTCTTGAGATAGCGACCTCATGTTTGGAACGGAAATCGAATGAATCAAACTTAAGTACCGACGGTGCTAAATATGGTGCGCTTCAAGGAGACTTCCACAACAACAGTAATGGATTTATATGTGATAAAAATACAAAGACTGAGTTATATACTCAGACAGCTCCTATATACTGTGTAAGTGTAACCTTACAATTAGCTGATTCCTCCCAGAAGGAAAATTGTTGTGCTACCAACAGAAACAATGCGAGTGGTAGTGTTTCTGATGATTCCGAGCTTTCTACTTCCACAACGTGTCCAATCTCGTCCATAAATTTCCACGGGTATAGTTTAACTACCGGTGGAAATTCACTGAACAAGCAAACAAATCATGAGAATTTGAGTGTTTCTAAATCTAAAACCCAACAGCATGATGGTGGGAGAGATGAGACTAAGACGAACACATTTGTCTTTAGTGAGTCATCGTGTCTTGATAAATTTCATGAGGAAACCACCTCAAACTTAAATTGCGACAAAGACCGGTCTTCTACTGCAGAAGTCAAACAGTCGTCTCTAGACGAAATATTAAGTTCTTTGGAAAAAATACGCGATGAGTTCGAACTATCAAGTACCGAGCTTGAAAATACAACGACTTCTAAGACTCTTTCAGGCAAGGAGGCACCAGTCGCGTCTTTAAGTGAGTGCTTCTCAGGCTTTAGAGAAGCAAAATTCGCGAGTGAAAGCGCTACGAACAAAGAAGTAGTGCATGCGCTGGGATGTGAGTACGTCTTTGCGGATTTAAGTAAGATATCGTGTGACAACGTCTCAGTGAACAAGCCTGAGCGTCATAACAGCACGTGCTTCTTAAAACATCCAAGCGAAAGTATTGAAAAAAACTATGTTACTAATTCAGAAAAAGATAGTTGTTGGAATAGTTTCTCACTGTGTGATACACATCATTCAGAAAATGCATCAGAAATGTTGAGTTCGCCCTTGCTTTCTCAGAAGCCATGCGTTAATGGGTTTACTAAGTTTTTGTCACAGCTAAAGGTGAAATGTCGAGATCCACTAAAAGCAGAGAATGCTGTTATAATGAAAAAGTGGGGATTAAATGACTCTCAACAACCATCCATAGATGTCTATGAAATAAAGAAGCGTGTCCCTGAATTATTGTTGAATCAAGATCAGTCGAATAATAATTCAGAATTTGTGATATGTCAAGAAAAAAGTGAACTTGACACAGCAGCTGACTTAAAACCAGGTCAAATAAACTATGAAATTCTAGGAGGGAAATCAGAAATAGCAACAAAAAATAATAATAAGCCACCTGAACCAAAAGTAGAACAAATTCAACACATATTAGCAGGTCTGGATTTTTCTAAATACAGACGAGGTCGAAACATTTGTGATACTGACGAGCAAGAAAACAGCTCTGTGGGTATGGAAAGTAAACACAGCCAGAACATTGACTTGAAAGCAGAAGTTGAACATATCGCAAGTCATCACATCGGTATTGAAATGGATACCAGTAATGATAACGTTAGAATCGTCGATCAGTTAGAGTCACAACAAGATCGTTCTGTTGTGGTGAATAATACTTTCTTAAAACAAGATGCTGTACTGTTAGATGTTGTGTCGTTTTGTCCAGAAATAAAGAGATATAGGAATGAAAAGGGTAAAAACTCTGAAGTTTCCAAGAATATAAACAAATGCATAAACTCTAATTCTTTGTTTTACCAACATAATGTAAAAGAAAGTGAGAGATTCTTGGAACAAAGCGGGAAAGATGTAGCAGACAGTTCTTCTCCTTCCCTGTCTCATAATTTAAAAAAAGATGTAGCAGACAGTTCTTCTCCTTCCTTATCTAATCACAATTCGAAAAAAGATGCTGCAGACTGTTCTTCTTCCCTGTCTCATAATTTGAAAAAAGATGTGGCAGACAGTTCTTCTCCTTCCCTATCTAATCACAATTCGAAAAAAGATGTGGCAGACAGTTCTTCTTCTTCCCTGTCTCATAATTTGAAAAAAGATGTTGCAGACTGTTCTTCTTCATCCCTGTCTCATAATTTAAAAAAAGATGTAGCAGACAGTTCTTCTTCTTCCCTGTCTCATCATGATTATAAAGGGAAGAGTGAGAAACTCAAAAACGTGAGCGAAAAAATAAAACCTACATTATATAATTCTTCTGCTAAAACATTTATTTTCAATGCCAACGATGCTCTAAAGTGTAATAACGGTATAATGCGAAAGTTCTCTCCAATAAACAGAAGCTCTTCTTTTCCTCAGGTAAAAGTTTTCTCTGATAATTCATACGAAAAAACAAAAATCTCTTCAGGAAAAAGCCAACCCACGGAATTCAATCAACAATATTTATCCTCTCGGCGTATATTAAATAATCCGTCAACAGTTGTTGACAACAATAAATATATTGATACTGCAGCTCAACAAAGTGATCTTCAAGTTATCAGTAGCGATCTTAACAAATCTGATCTTTCAGTAGATTCTGCTATTGAATCAGTTAATGAGGAAAATTTCGTTGTTGATTCGGATTCTTATCTAAACGATAAACCTTCGAGTTACAGTATTTTACCCCCCACAAATAAAACAATGCTTCTGTCTGACGAGTGTAGACAATTTAGTGGTTCTGAAATTAACAAAGAAATAAAAGTCGTGCGACCTTTTAAAGTAGATTTTAAGCCTAATTTTCAAGAAGTCAAAAATGAAGATAATGAATCGTTGTCGTATCCCTCACAATGTCGTAAGTCTGTACTAGAGGAAGAAATCCAACAATCTAGTGCTTTGGATATTAATACGTTAAGCCCTATTGATACATCACTAACATTAGCTGTAAGAAGTCTTCCTCAAAAAAGTGTGCTATCTTTATCGGACAGTTACTTTAACAGGGATGTAATTGTTGGTCATGAAACATTTGAACACACGGTTGGAATGATCACTCATTCTACCAGCGAGATGTGCTCTGCAAAACGATCTGAAAAGTTGTTGAAAAAGAAATACCATAGTGATCCTAATGGAAGTATTAACAGAGAAAGTGTGGAGTTCGATGAAATCGTTTCACGTTACAAAAGTGAGCCCGTACTTGGAGATGGTAATGAAGAGAGACACCAACATCAAATAATGTTACGTGGCAGAAAAACACCCATTGAGCTATATAGCCTTGCCAGTCTCATTCCACAACAGTCTTCAAGTCATGGTTTTGGTAACACGAGTTCCTGCTTTTCGAAACAGCCAAGTTTTGCAGAATGTGCAAATAACTGCAATTTAGAAAAAGAAAAACTTTCCAAAAGCCCTGATCAACAAATGCGTTACTCAAAGAAACGCCTACGTGGTCCTTACGGTGAAATGTTGGAGGAAGAAATGAGAAAATCTGGGGAAAAGCTAAAACACAAAATGGACGAGGACCTTCGTTACTTAGAGGAAACGAGTGAAGAAAGCACATTGCAGAAAACCACGTATGCCATTGAAACATCAGCTAAATTTTCTGAATCTGAACTTCATGTTCGTCCATTCCATCTTCCAAGCAGCCAGTCTTTAGATCAGGTAGACATTCAAAAATCAAGTACATGCATTGATACAGACACGTGTAATAAAAATACAAGTGCTAATATTCTGTACGTGCAAAGTGGAAAAGCATCAACACGATTGATATCCTCTATAAGTATGTCTTCATTCTCAAGTGATTCGACTTATAGCGAAACAAATACAGTGATATCGTCTGAAGATACTGCAAAACCAGATAGACTTCTTACTGCGGACAACTGTGGCGCTGCTGTTTTGCAAAACAAGGACCACTATAAGCTTGAACGTGTAGTATCTCTAAAGAAACATCAGGTAAGACTGCTATGTGTTTCAAGTTTTTTGCGTATGAATTTTATTATGATCTAGTAGTTGCATAAAAATGAAATTTCCTGTCGTCTGTTAGAAAAAAATAATTATAAAGTTAAGTAACCACAAAATTAGCGATGTTTTAAAAGAAAATTAATAAATGTATAGGAGATTTGGGCATAGGAAGAATATAAGTATGCGACGAAATGTCACATATATTACACTTTATTTATAAAGTTTATCAAAGTTCGGTAAATCAAAGCCATTATTTCGTATTAGTACTCTTAAGATACTTTGATTTTCTGATAAAAATACAGGAAAGTTGTATTTTATTTAAATATCACGTGGAAAAAACAACAACAACATCCAACATCATAATGCCAAAACAATTTACCTGTTAAATTATTAATACATTAGTAAATCTAGATGAGCAAGTGATAAAGAAATCTATTAGTTTTCGAGATGTAATTTAGTACAGGCACTATGGATTCGATAGATCACTTCTGTGTACGAAGTAGAATAGAAAACTCTTCGCCATAGCAGAAATTTCTTAATATATTCATTATTATGGTACCGTTAGTAATATTATAATTCGTTCTTAATGAAAAATTTTATTTTATGATTACCTTTGTAGTTGTTTAAAGATGAAAGAAATGTATTGATACAGCGTTTTTGTTTTTTGAAAATACAGTTTTGGCCAGCTATCGTGAACATTGTTAATAGAAAATATTAACTTTGGTTTAGAATTTAAAGCAACATTTAATCTGTATTAATAATTTTCTGTTTTCTCATTTACATTATGATACATTATGGTGTGAAATTCTAAACATATGCATATACAAACACATCTGTAAGAGTTTCTTTCATTATCAGGTTTATCTTAATACGCATTCCGTGTATGTATTCGATTATCAACCAACAAATAAAACTTAGCTAGTTTTAAGAAAATAAAATGCTGCTACAGAAGTCATTTTACATGAAGAATATATCTCAAAAATAGCAGTAAAAACGAAATAACAACATTGAATCTCTCTCCAGTTTGGAAACTTTGTTAGTCATTCCGATAATCTCTCATGACTTTCCGAAACAAACTTGTGTTTTGTATTTACGGGTAATTTTGGAAAGTTGTTCATAATTCTCGTGAATCACGCTTTTTAATTTGGAAATAAAACACTTCCTTCTCATACTGTCAAAAGTAGTTTCATAATATAACCAATTTTTTGACATTGTCCCATCTTTCAATTTGTAAAAGCAGAAGAAATAGTTTTTATTCAGTAAACGGTATTGCATTTGCTTACCATTTGTTTCCGATATGTTTCTATAAGCGTGCATGATATCGAACAGCGTTTCTCAACCACCGGTTCGTCACAAACTAACTTGAACTTCACAACAACATGAAAAGTATGTTCTAGGATAGTTTATGAGACCTGTGCAGTAAAAGTTGTTTAATATGCCACTGTGACCGTACAAGGCTGAAAAGGAACGTAATGAAAATACATTCCCTGTGTAAGTTGGACGAATGTCCAATATTGTGTCTTTGTGTCTAACATATGAGACACAACATTATAAGTGTAAATCACACACTTGCATTATTAAGTATTCTACGGTGAAGGCCATCTCAGTACTATTGTCAAACAGAATATATGAGGTTTTGATATGATGTAAGTACATATCTTACGACATTCGTGAACACAGACAAAATTACATCTTATCATATCTGTCATGGAAAAAACACACGGCTCCGTATTGTCCTTGGACACATAGAATGAAATGTGTATAACAGAAGTAGAAAAACTTAAAAGAGTATCTTATTACATATTTTTATTTGTGTTTATAAATATTAATCTATTAAGTAGCTATCATTGCATATTTAAGTAGTACAAATACTTTTTTTCCATTCAATGTTTGTAACCTTCTTATGTCTACTACAGACACCGTGAAGATGATCGAAAATTCATTCACGAATTTCATTTTGAACGAGATATGATCGGAATCTGACTTGCCTGTTTTGAAAGATTGTTTTCATTGCTAGTCTTTATCAGTGTTCGCATAAAGTAGTATATGATAACTAAAGTAATCGGTTTATTATAGATTAAACCTATTCATAAAAAGCAGTTACGAAAGAGAATACTACTAAGCTTAAAATTCATTGTTAAATCTTATTTACCATATTTCTTATAAAGAAATTATCTATGTAATAAAGCTCATGTTAATGATATATTAAGCGCCAAGTCATGGTAAATGATTCAGGTATTTGACAAAAGTAAACAAAAACAATACGTCCTATAATACTAATTGTGAGCTTCTTTAATGTTTTCACGTATATCTTTAGCATCAACAGAAAAAAAAACCCATTATAATAGCGTATAATATCGCTTAATTCAGTGCTATTTCTGCTCTTTCTCTTTGACCCTAATATTATTATCAAATAACGAGTTTAACGCTGCTCACGTTTGTTTCTTTTGCCTATAAATTTATATATTATTTTCTTTAAAAGTGTTGGAATTGATTATTATAGCGAGTGTTAATGCAATTAGCTTCATGCAAATGTAATAGTACAATTCTGCTGTTAACACGTTTACATGCATCGTGTAAAAACAATACTTATGATATGAGTTATCTGCATTTTTTTTGGGGGGGGGGAGTTGTTCATTCGAGGAGTTAATAAGATTAGGTTTTGGTTTTATTACCACTGAGTTATCGCGGGAGGTGTATGATTAGTGGTTTCACTTACATAAGCAACAAGCGTAATAGACTCGTTATATGAAATTGAGGATTTTATGTTCAAGGTTTAAGATGAAGTACAAACAAATTTGGACTCCTACAAGAATGTCGGATGTAGTTTTGAGCTTAATATGTCTGATATGTAAAAAAATGTTATATTTTGATCTTACAAAGTTGAAATAATATAGAATTTATCAACTTTCAAGTTAAACTTATTTATTGGAGTTTCGGTTTTTTATAGGTTAGTAAAATTAGTCACTAGTTTTATTACTTCTACTTCCACCTTGTTTCTCATATTGCATACACTGATTTTTAATGAAACGTTTGTAGGAAATTGTAACATATGGGTAAATGATCTAAGATGGGTTGGGAAAGTTAAGTAGAAGAAAATTAAAAATGGCGATATTTCCAAGCGGAGACTTGGTCATATAGTTATAATTATATACTCTTCACTTTGCAGTTCTAGAATATAATCAACTCTTAAATACTAGCAAAGAAAATACAACATTTTATAGTTTTTAGGCCAAATGTTATAATATTTAGGGAAGTGGAACAACAAATATAAATTTTTTTATTACTTTATTATAGGATTTGACTGAAGGTTTTCAAATTATATGTCTTTTAATTAATTTGATTAGGTTATATAAAAATTGACAAAGTAAGCTTTCTACATTTTAGTTTGAAATCAAAATTGCATCCTAAGAATATTCGATACTTTTATTCAAATTTCGTTTTCTAGGTTCACATTTTTTCTACTTCTTATGGCAATCGATTTGGACTTGATAAAGAGTAAGAGTGACTACTTACTGTGTTTGTAATTTACAGAACTATATTTTTCCGTTTGTATTGATGGTGTAAAACGTTTTTCCATTTTCGCTGAGTAAGATTCTTTTTTTTTTTTTACATATTAGTCCATAGCTTCTTTTATCGTTAAAGTTCGTTGTTTACATAAGCATCTTTAAACAGGTATTGGTAGGCTCTTCTTAATGATATTTTCCTGTGATTATGAATACTTACTCTCAAAGACAGAATGGCCTTACCGTTAGAGATTTTAAGGGCTGCGACTTAAAAGGTAGAATATGTATATTTGTATTTTCTGCCCGGCTTGTTTGAGTAATTTGAATTCCTTTGACTATTTTGATAATTTTGCTGTCATAGCCCTATTACCACCACTAGTTTGAAGAACGAGACCTTTTATTGTATATCTGTTATAATTAAGCTTGCAATTTGTTTTAACGAGTTGGCTTAATTCAGTTTACTCTTAAAGTTATTCTTATTAATTAATGTCCCCTGATAGCCTAGCGGCAAACATTCTCTCTTATAATGCTAAAAATTGGATCCTCCATTGGGGCAGCGATAAGTCTACGGACTTACAACGCTAAAACCCGAGAGTTGCTTCCCTTCGGTGGACAAGCAGATAGTACAATGTGGGTTTGCTTTAAAACAAAAGAAACAAGTTGAAAATCAGGTTTCGATACCCGCGGTGGACAGAGCACAGATAACCCATTGTGTAGCTTTGTGCTTAACAACAAACAAAACATACTAATCCATATTCGAGCTTAATCCCCAAGGAGTAAGCGCAAGTAAGAATCTTGTTTAACTGAACTTAACACAACTTAATTAGAAAAAAAACCTTCAGTTACAACTTGTTTGAGTCAGACCTTTGAGAACATATATGTTGAGCCCTTAATACTATATGTTTACAAGTAAATTATTTGTGTCTTAACTTATTGCATCTCCTTTATAAATGTGTATAAGTTCAACATAAGTAACCTTATTAAAGCATCTACTTTTATTACATGTGCCGATGTTTCCGTTTATCAACGTTATATTTTAAGATGTTCCCACATATAAAAGCTATCTTTAAGTGGGAATAATTACATCATTGTTCCCACTAATTTTGGTTTTACTGCTTTTCATCAAAATGTATAGTCACAAAATATTGTGTTTTATTACACTATCTATAGACGACAAAGTTTCAACGAAATTATAATTTGTTGTTAATCGATTGTTTCTAGGGGTGAACCAAACTTTTCAGTTGATCATTTAGCGTTTTTGTCCATATGCTCTTTAGTAAGTACCTGTTTAGTGTCGAAAGATGTGCGTGACAGCAGGTGTAGTTTTTAATTCTTACCGCAGTTAAGATTTTTTACTTGGCTAAAATAAGGTATGATTGTCTATAACCAAAATTTCCTCAGCAGGAAGATTTCGTTATTTGATATGTAAATCAACCTCAGTATTGTGTCACATTAACTTCATTTCTTAGGCTTAAAATTGCTTTTGACTCGTGTTTAATTACGTAATCAGGTAGGTATACTATGCTAGGCGAGGCCTTTGATAATCGCAATAGTATTCATTATTGCTAATGGTTAAAGTAAACAATATCGATGAAAACTAGCTAGAGGCAGTAAACGTTACAGTTCGCTGAAGTTGTTCATATCTAAAAATTACTGCTAGTTATAGTTGTTACAGGAACTGAATGAAAAAACCCCTTCACCAAGAGCTTCCTACACAATTTATTTCTGAATATCCAATGAATAGTTTGAGAGACTTCACAAAATCGTAAATATGTTTTACAGGGCTTCTTCACAGTGACGGTTTTGTATCGTGCCTTTCTTTAGGCTATGAACGGAAAGACACAGATCTTTGTAATGCGAAATGTACACAGAACTTTATTATTTCTTTTGATTCAGAGTCGTAATATCAGTTGTCATATCAATATCATCCATTCATACCGCCAGTGAAGAACCGCGATACAATGGCATATTGTACATTAGATTTGCACAGCTCCTATAAATTCATATTAATTGTTCTTAACTTATAAACAGTAAATCAAAAACGTTTACTGTGATTTCTCTAACTCAAAAAAGAAACAATTCGTATACTGTATACGATACTGCTTTGCTATCTGATAAAAAAGTTGAAAGCATAAAAAAGGATAATCATATATAAAACCTTTCGTAATTTGTACTGGTAATACTTATGTATTCATGAGAGAATAATTCTGACAATTTATTCGAAAAAAGTTTGCTTGTGTAGCAAATTTCCTTTTGTGTTGAAGTAAGAGGAGGGGGCAAAGATTGCAAGAACCAGTTAAGTAAACAGTGTTCACTGAAATGCTTGATACTTAATAAAGGATTAAACCTAGAGTAACCGTTACATAGAAATGTTCAAATTACATTTGCGTGTTTTACTACATCTTTTTTGTGGAATTTTATTTCATATAATATAGAAGCTTAGTTTGAGTTGACCCTTGGATCTATGGCAAAGGTTGAATATTATCTGTTTTCCTAGTTGTATTATACAATGAAATATAACTCACAGAATATGCCGTAGTGTTAGGTGATTACAGCATTCTAATGAAAAACTACTAATTAAATAAGCTAGTAAAAACATCTAATGGACATTCTGGTTGGTAGGGTCATCAAAAACAACGTGTCGTTGAATGATGTTAAGTTCCTTTTTTTATAGGGCCAAACAACAGTTTTCTCCAAAGATATCTTTATCTTGATTAAAAACTAAAACAACGAATCGACTGTAATATTTAAGAAACAACCATACGTACTTTTATCTGTTTATAATATTTTCTTATCTCTCTTTAGAATAATGAAATGAAATTATTTTAAACTTATTATACTCAAACAAAGATTTCAGTTTCTGGAGAATCTTTTAATGTTTATAGTATGTATTTGTTGTCATTAAAGCAAGTTATTACAAAGAAATTGCGTTACAAAAAAAGGAGCTCCATTGAATTAAAACTAATTACATTTTATATATTATATACATATGTAAATATATAACTAGAGAAAGAAAGGAATTGAAAAACTAAAGGTAATTTATACAATGTATATTCAAATATATTTGCAAAATTACCTTTCATGTTTACATTTACGACCACGCTTTCCTGGTGTTTTGTTTTATATAAACAAAAGTGGATCCGTGTTATCAAGTGTGGTTCAGGTAATATAGTAAGGAAACTTGCTCTATAGAGTTCCACTACCTGCTTCTTTGTGTCTTGTACGTTGTCGGGTATTAACTGTAGTTCACTCTTCCTCCATTTCACTTCCCAGAGGAGCAGCTCAGATTTAATGGAAGAATTATATGACATATCATCGCCACACATCTTGGCAAATGTGTTTAACTTTACTTTCCTCTAACTGACTGTCCTTGAGCATGACATTAATTTTGGCGCACATATCACACTGTTTTCCGGTGTGCTGAAACGAATCTAATGCCTTTTCCCCCAATTTCTTGTCTAGGACAAGTAGTTATTATGACCAAGTAGTACTCTTTTGGCGTCTGGAAACTTGGATTGTTCCTGTTTCGTTATTTTGATCCTATACATACACGGATACTTACTATGGTATCTGCGACTTCTTTTGCTATTTGGAGTAGCTATTTGTCATATGTTAAACACCATATCTGTCATTTTTCAATACACTTTTTCTACAGCTCACTGTCACAATAATATGCTTTGGGAACATTAGTGGTCTGACTATACAGTTTGGTTGTCAGTATTTATGTCAAGGCCAGGATTTTGCAACATGTTTGTAGGGAAGCCAATAGCTGTATTACATGTACAGTACAAGCTATTAGCTTTGGAGCAAGACTGTGCGTTACATCCACCACTATCCACTGTTAACTCAAACTCGGTAAAGATCTCAAATCCACCCTCTTTATCCACCTAATTATACACACATCTAGAAGCTATCCTCTGGATAGTTATTATGCAATATATTCTCTTGTCTTAACTGATGCTTTGGTGAGGGTTTACAGAAGAGAGAAAATTTAGAGTGAAAGAGGTCCCATTATGTTTTGAACAGTCTGCATTTTATACCCTTCATCATAATTAGATTAAACTATTGGGATGTACAATGAGTATAAGTAACTTTTGGAAGTTTTGCATTTATTCTTGCTGCTGCTTGTTTACAGTTGCTAGCCGTGTTTCGAGCTTCATCGTAACCCTTACTACGACAATTAGTCAAGCTCTTCCACAGTTTTCTCGGTGAGATTTGAGATTTCTTCATCCGACACGTTATCTTATTTTCTATGATAATCTCACGTGACTCTTGATATTTTGTTTTTATACAAATAGTGGATGGCTAATGACAGTTTTCTTTGTTGCTATAGTCATCAGCTTCACCTACTAAAACACTAAAGTGTGGAGTTTGTGGGGAAATCCCCTCAACAACATTTTTTGTTTTACATACTCTCCATCAGTTAATAAAGTTATTCTGGGTTGTTTTTGTACGAATTATTTTATTGGAATGTGCAGATACAAAGTAAATTTTCAGGATATGTCCATCATCAATTCTGAAGTTAGTAGAGCTTGGAAATTCCCTGGAATTTTATCTGGTCACAGGATTGTGTGATTATCACTATGTCCAAGCAACGTAATGTTATGTTGACCATAGTTCAGAGCTATGGTCAATATTGAAAGCAGTTCTTTTTCTGTTAACTTGACATTCATTACTTATCATTACATTCATAGGTTTTCTCAGCTTAGTCATGTGTTGAAATATTCCCTCAAAATCGACATAATCGTGATTAGTATAATTATAATCAGCACTTGACCTTATAATGAGTTGAGGTTTTTACAAAAAGGAAAAGAAAAACTGTTTGAACCAAAAATACAAAATAACTTACATCATCAGACAATTTAGGCTTACTAACCTAGTATAAGCCTAGTATTAAGGAAGTTCAAAGTATATTGTACTGTTGAATAAACTTGCTTAACCCCAGATCATAGCTGCCATGACCTAGAAACACAGTTATTATTTAGAGATAAGAAAA